GAAAGGCCCAACAAAGAGCCAGGGAAAGCTTCTTAGCTCCAGTTGTTGTGACCAAATGAAGACACACACACACACACACACACAGAAGAAAAAACAAAGCTACATTTATCTAAACATAAACAATTTCGCAAGATTAGCAACTAAATTCAACATCCTGCTGCATAACAAACCATAATTGTAACTTTATAATGCACACTGGATGTTAACTGTGTTCCTTTCTGTGTGTAACTATGGCGACCCCTGATAGGAAAAGTGATATATCATGCATTTAAAGTAGAATTCAGCATGTTACTGAAAAGGAATCAGATACTAAAGCTGGAATACATAACTTTTTGCTTCATAAATTCATTTTGTTTGTCCCAACAGAGAGAGTGTTGTTTAAGTAACATATTGTAAACAAATCATACCACAACATGCTGCGTTTATCTTATTACTGAGAGCTGATTGGCTGAGTGAAGGCTGGTACTCTCTCTTTACTCTTTTATAAACTTGTCTAAAGGTGTGACAGAGTCCAAGGATATGTCCAAGTGAAAAATAAAAGAAGCAAACTATTTTGACAGCAAGGTATGGATTCTATTACATGGTTAATTTGTTGAGGTTTCAAAGTTAGGCACTCCAGCTTTAACTGATCAAAGAAAGCAGATTTTCTTTAGGACGAATTTGTGCAAGTCCCACCAAATATGTATAAACCTAACAGCACTTCTTTTACTTCACTTCTTGCCATCCTTTAACTAAACTCTGCAAACTCTTTCTCCCAATTAACAAAGAGAGGTCACAGGCATCACATTTCATTTACAGTTTCTGAGATCACCTATCAGCGCGTGACACTTGCAAATAGCAAGTGAAATATCATCTTTGTCATGTCTCAAATGAGCTGCAGGTACCATGTCCGGTCTTTATGACCATGACACGTTGTTAGTCACACTGAGACTATGTTTGACCTGCGAAGGCAAAGAACATCCCAGCCGGGCGGAGCAGGTAGTCCCGGCCCTTCCCAAAGGAGAAGCCCACACAGAGCGTGCCCAGGATCATGAAGAAGAGGCTGAAGATGGCGATGGCGGCTGCAGAGATGTTGTACTCTGAGGGAAAAGACATTTATTAAACCAGCTGAGAGAGAAGGGTGGGGGAGAGAAGGAGAGACAGAGAGAGAGAGAAACATAGAGAGAGAGAGACACACACACACACACACACACAGAGAGACACACAAAGAGAGAGACAGAGAGAGAGACACACACACAGAGAGAGAAATAGACAGAGAGAGAGACACACACACAGAGAGAGAGACAGAGAGAGAGATAGACACACACACACACACACAGAGACACAGAGAGAGATGGAAAGAGAGAGAGACAAAGAGAGAGAAAGAGAGAGAGAGAGAGACAGAGAGAGAGACAGAGACGGAGACAGAGAGAGAAAGAGAGAGAGAGAAAGAGAGAGCGAGAGAGCCAGCAAGAACTGAAAAAGATGGGTTCCTATCATAGACAGTATATCCAAACAGTGCTTTTGACACTTTTGACATAATATTCAATCATAAACAGTAATTTAAAATGGAAGTTTCAAAATTAACGAATTACAAACTGAAAATATCAAACTTACTCTTAAAAACAAATTCTCAAAGGCCCAATCCAACCCGAAAATAGTCTCAAAATAATGAAGAAGTCCAGACTGAAAATCAGACTAAAATGGCAGCTGTAAAAACTCTCTCGGGAAATAGTCTCATCTCGAGTGAGAAGGAAGCGACATACGGAGGGCGGCAATATCGCTCACACTAAATTGTTTCAGTATTTCACACAGGCATATCATGACACACATAATTAGCCCTTAAATTACCCCTTGGTAAAAAAAAAAAAAGCCAGTTAAACAGACGCCATCTCACCGAGTCTGCCCACTCACTTGAAGCAGTCAGATAAATACTCCGAATACTGCTGAGGCCCTCCAACTGAAATGTTTTGTCTGTGCTCTGTTTCCTCGAGTGGATGGGAGACCGCCGGGCAGAGAAGTGCTCACATCACTCCACTATTTCTTTGAGCATAGTCAAGCCTCTATTGAGTAATGTGTGCATAAATCCGTGACAATGTTGCAGATTGTCGGCAAATTACATTCTTTCAATATTTCATTTCACAGTTCATCAACTATACATTGAACAGCATGATTGTTTCAGTGAAAAACGTTGGATTATTATTCAATAGTTGACAGATCGGTTAACAATTGGTGAAAACCTCTCTGGTACACTGTTTTGATTTGAAGTCAATTTTATAGGGAATTAACTTTTGTGTTGGGATTTATACAGACACGCATATATATCTTGCACTAGATTATAAACTGTTTGATTATTTGTTTCTTTATTAAGCTGAAGATGGAGATATTTTCTTATTCTGAAAGTACAAAGCTATACTTGATATTCACAACACTGAAATTCCCCCTCTGTGGTTTTATTTACAAAATCATGTATTTTATTGACACGCATTTTGGCACATGACATTTCACATTGGAGAGACCCATGAGGAAAATGCCGTTAGACTTAGATTTAAGCATGTTTATTGATTGAGCATGTTTGGCGCCCTAGGCCCGGGAGGGATGCTGTTGAGCACGGCGCTTGCTCGCGTGCATAATCCCCCCCCGGGGCCTAGGCACTGGTGGCGGCAGAGGCAGTAGGCAAGCACGCTTTGGTGAGAAAAGGAGGAGGTGGGGCGGCGGAGGCTTGCAGACTTCAGAAGGCCGGGAAAGGGGGAGTCTCCGGCTTTTAACTTGCTGTCCTGGTGGTTATTGGTTGGCTGGATGTGGGCGTTGCTGGTCTGATGAGCCGAGGAAGAGCAGCCTGTAGATCTGGGCAAGCAGCAGCCGGGTCTACCACAGTGAACTTTCGCGAAAGCTCCATGTTTTTTCGGCTGCTTTTATCTCCGGGTCTCATCGGGTGGAGGGTGTTCCAAAGGAAATGGGAAAAATGAAATTGGACCCACCTTTCTGCGTCTTTACTTCAAAAACTTCAGCTTCTTCCCCGGACGTGAAGTGTTTGAAATAGGAGCAGTTTTTTGCTGAAAGGTTGGAAAGAACAGAAGAAAGCTGTTAAAATATATTCAAATTCATGAAACACAAACGTAACATTTTCTCTGCTGGAATGCCTGTAATTCAAAGTGGATTTTTATTGAAGAGGGTTTAATATTCAAGATTAATTAATTATGTCCCGTAGGAAATTTGTCTTGGACTCACAGCTGCTACACTGAAAATACACATAAGACACAAAACACAACTCAGTAACACAGACATAAACCATCACCACTCTCTTCTATGACCTGCATTCAGGAGGTTCACAAATATGGGTAGGAATGAGTTATTACCGTTTTAGATATATTTTCTTATTTTTAGTTGGTACACTATTCTGTAGTGGCGGCCCAATGGGATGAGCTCATGTTGAAAGTAAACGACATGGTCAGAGGTGATTTTCTTTGCCTGTCTTACAACAGTCTCCTCAAAGTTGGATACAGATGCATACTATAGAAGTGCACTTACAGCACTTTGCTTGGAATTTTCCGTGGCAGTAAACTAATCTGTCTACCTTTATGAGAGTTCCTATTCTTAAAGATACTTGCATGTGCATCCGTGGTGTCAGGATTGCAAGCACTGTATAACATCTCCAAACACAATATTTGACACTGAAGCACCAAATGAATAAGCTATGAACACGAATCTGCACCATTCCCCTGTGCTTTTCATTCTCAGTGGACCACAGCACCAGGCCGTCCACAATTTCACACCTCCTGCTACAGCAATAATGGCTTGTTTGTGTTTCCCAGTTTTCTGCCCCCAAATGTCGCTCTTTTGACCGCAATCTGCAGTTCTTTATGGTGTGGCCATCTTTCTTTAACATGCATTCAAGAGTTTGGTCCTCTTTAGAGACTATATCTAAAATAACGTGCCAATGCATTTGCCAAAGGTTGGAGTTGGATCTGAGCTGGAGAACCGATGATCCAAATCCATACCTGTGGATTCTGACAGGCATTCAGTTTGAGACTATAATTTACAGATTGGAACTCATCAGAAAACCCAGACCATCAACAGATACATTTGAATTTTCTTCACAAAACTTATATGAATCCTTGCAAACGATGAATTGAAATATAAAACACACACTACTTGTGCTATACTCATTCTGGTGGAACCTCACATAAATGGTTTGAAATGATGCCAACACACAGCCACAGCTGACCACTGCTCCCAGGGTCCAGGGCTCCTCCAGAGATATTTTCCAAGTGCATTTGATGAAACTCACCCACATGATAACAGGACATGACAGGACACACATTTTAAAATTTTGATATTTTTTATTTTTTATTCCCCCCACCCCCATTCCCTTTTTAATCATTTCCAGTTCAACAAAGCTTTAGGCATATCTTAAAAATCAGCATGGCTTTGTTTGAGCCTTGTTTTTTTCCAGTTTGATTGTGAATATATTTTTTAAGTCAATAAGATGTCGTCCCCCGTTCCAAATGTTTTTTTCCCCAGTTCTTCAAAGCTCAAGGTATGTCTTAAAAATCTGCACTTCACAATATGCCATTTGACATTTAAATATGAAATTTATGCCATGTGATAATTAAATGGGCCTTGTTTTCCCAATTGGAATTTGAAATTTGAATGTTTTCTCTTTTTCCCTTTGTTATTGTAGAATTTCATGAATTTAATCTTCATGAAATCTCCTCTGGGATCGACTCCTCTGGGATCGTCTCCTCTTTAATCGTCTCCTCTTTAATCGTCTCCTCTAGAAATTATCTCCTCTGGGATCGTCCCCTCTGGGATCGTCCCCTCTGGGATCAACTCCTCTGGGATCAACTACTCTAGGATCGTCTCCTCCAGGATTGCCTCCTCGTCTCCTCTGGGATCGACTCCTCTGGGATCATCTCCATTGGGATCGTCTGCTCTGGGATTGTCTCCTCTGGGATCGTCTCCTCCATATACACACACACACACACACACACACACACACACACACACACACACACACACACACACACGCGTACTGACATAGAGACAGGACACTCGCGGATCACAAAGCTCTTGCGCACAAGTGAGCTCCGGAGCTCACTTGTGCGCGAGGATGGTTTTAAAGGGTGTGAGGGCCCTCGCCTCTTTTCCCTAAGTATTGGGAAACCCTTCGACCCCTGTGGACACGCGCAAAATCTAGGGCAAGGGTGCTTTTTAAGGGCAAGGGTGAGAATTAGGACGGGCCTGTACTAGTTTCCATAGCAACATATGATTTTACTTGCTACCAGTTAGCATTTGGTAGCCTTTTAACAAACTGCTTTTTGTTATATTCACAAGTTTTAGCACTTTGTATGAGTGAGTAAAGGTACAACATCTTATAAATAACTTCCTTTTGAATCATCTGTCAAAAAACTAAACATTTGTGAAGCAATTTCCCAGAATTCTGTTGGTTTGAATAAGAGCAGTCAAAATGACGGCCCTGGGAGTTCTTGTAGTTTCATTATTGTGGGAGTCCGAGTGTTTATGTATGTGTACAGATGTGTGTTGTTGGGATCTTTTGCTTTTGGGGTAAATCCTTCAAAGCTCAACAACAGATAAATTGGAAATTATAGTAGGTTGAAGTCACTGCAATGTTCCCACAAAACATGAAACACAAATGTATGGGTGTAATAAAATCACACAAGAGCAGTTTGTTAGGATGGATGAGAATCACTAAAGAGGTAACCTAGCAACAGGCTACTGGAAGTCCGGGCTGGTTCCACGTGTTTACCATAGAAAAGGCACTGCAGATAGCTAGTACTGGGCCTGGGAGCCAAACAAAAACATATGTAAATTCTGTACTCATCATGCCTCTTCTTTAATATCTTTCTATTTTTAATATGAGTTTTGAAATAATTGAAAAGTATGGTATTGATGTCTATGTCCTTCATACTGTACTTTAATAAACAACAACAAAACATTTGCACTCTTTTTACTATTTATTTTCCTATACAGAGCTCGGCGCAAACCATAAAACCAAATGGTGATTATTTTAACAACACTCAAGCTGTTATGTGGCAGGGATGATTTCAAAAGTCAATGGGTTTGATGCATTGCTCCCACGTCTTCACGATAATACACACGCTCTCTAATCACATGAATGGAAACAATATGCATGTAGTACTCAGCTCCCATTCTGTCTGGAAAGAAAAAGTGTGTTATTAAGTCCAATCACCGCTGCCTACCTGGGTGTTCTGTTCATCAAGGAGGTAATCTCTACAACGCACTGAGAATTCTCTTGGGATGTTTGAGAACTCTCTGCGGCGCTCCGGTGTTTAATATGCAACGTACGGACCATATTAAACTGGGAGTTATGTGTACAGCGGTGTGACGGGGAAGGGATGAAATTGGCTTACAGTATAAACTAGAGATGATAAACTATGACGCTTTGGTTTAGTTTTATTCCCTGCTTTTTGCCTGAAGTCCATCTTTGCTTTGTTCTGGTCAGTTTCAATCTATGACATCAGCAATTCTCCAATCGGCTCAAGCTTTTTTTTGTGAAGTTTTCCTTTTGTGTATGGGCGGGTTTCCCCTCTGGCACTCCAGTTTCCCCCATCAGCCAAAACATGCGTCATAGCTGAAATCTCCAGTGAAGATATACTGTGCAAGACCAGCATCGACCAGTGTTCCAATGTGGTGCACGATCTGACATCACGAGTCCAGGATCAATGTTAAAGTTGATTCGGGACTCTTAACCCTAAACCTTAGCCCTAATCTTACCCTAACCCTGCCATTGTAAAGAACTACTGCATTTCGTGTATTTGGCCCCATGATGGAAGCGTCCTGTCAGCAACGCCAATCGTAACCGAGTTCAGCTGATGTGGTCAAGTTCCAATCACAACTATATATATTTATCTTACAGTTTGGTGTAAAGCTGATGGTTGTGCACAAAAAGGTTAGAAAAAAGTTTCCGAGGTGGACTTCGAACTCGTGAGGTCGAGCAGAAAGTCTGCAATTAAGGCCTGTACTGATCCTGAAGCTCCATCGTGATCACCGCCAGAATCAAAATGTTAGTCTGCTGGGCACACACAGAGACACAGACACAGGCATGCTGGCACGCACACACATACACGCGCACACATGCGCACACACACACAAACACAAACTCTTCCACCCACGCAGGTACAGTATATGCTGTGATATGGAGAGACACATTTCTTATTGCTTACATTTTGTTGTACTGTAATTGAACAAATGTAACATGATGTAACTGTTTTGGCAGATATTTTGCGACTGATGTCATCAATAAAGGCTTACAGAACTCCTGTTCCAGCAATAGAGGAGTAGCAGGGAATTCTCGCTTAGAGAAAGATGCTTATGATCACAAGTCCACCGAATTTTACCTTTTTGAAAACAAGAAGTGCTCTGTCAGATGTTTATTTTAACATTGAGGTCAATGAAAAAAATGAGGCCCATGGTCACTTACTCACGACAGGCTAAAGCTAGCGATACCTATGATCTTCCTCCCCTTCTTTGTCCTCCATCTGCACATTTGCAGCTGACTTATCTGGCTGTGCAGTTTCTCTAATGCCGGCAGTAGAAGACTTGCACCATCACATGGTGTTGTTAGCCCTCATTTGCCCCGTAAAGATCACTAATCATTTAGACAAATTTTTATCCAGATATAATTGTTCTTTCCTGTTTTGAATTGCCCTGTCATTGTTAGTATCAACACAGGTCATTTTTGTTGATGCATTTTCAGGCACTTTATACACATGATAGATCATTTTGTTTTCTAGCATGACTCATTTTGTTGTTGTTGTTTGACACTTTTTTCTGTCATTTTAACCACATTGAAGCTCATTATTAATTTTTCTATTCATACACAACAGATGTATGTGTGGTTAAAGCGTGGAGCATGAAGACAGTTTAATTGTTGTGGTGTGTTTGGTGCCTTTGTTAAGATAATGACAGTACGCCTGTCCATTTGTAGGGTTTGTATTGTGTGGGTTTAACATATGTGCTGGCATGTGCCTCTGTGTGTGACGACGAGCACAGATGGAGGACAACGGACCGGCGAGAACAAGGGAAGAGGAGGCTGGCCAATGTTGTCTCTGCGAGCAGACACTTGTGACTTGGCCAATTTCCTAATTGTATTATTATCAAACAATATTTGGGATTCTTGACATTGAAAACAATCAACAAGACATGAAAGGAATGAATGGAAAAGGATTTACACATAATAGTATAAAAATAAATGATGTTATTGCGTATACAGTATGTACTATGCTTACTTATACATATAAAGTAAAATGTACAAATTTATTCATCAAATAATAAAACAGTTATTTCCACGGCACAACATTGAGCTATGGAAAAAGAAGGGTTTGCATATGACAAGCTCACCTCCGGGTAAGCTGATGGGGCCGCAGCCTTTGCCCTGGGGGTCCTGCTGTACGATGTAGATACTCTTCTTGCAGAGCCTCCAGAGGCCAAAATGCGCTGCTTCACAGGTGGCATTGAGCTTCTCAACACGGGGGCTGAGCACGGCCCAGTGGTCTGTTACCACAGCTGCCAGCATGGACGACATGCCCACCACGATCACCACGGATGTGATCTTCACCTTGGTCGCCTGCTCCTCAAACATGTCTGGTTTGGTGAGGTCAGCCGAGGTCACTGGTTCTGAGGATCCCGTTAGGAGAGCGCTACAGCTTTCTTTGGACCGTTCTCTTTCGCCGACTCTGCCGTGTGCCTCTGTAAAAGGGGACAGATAACTGTGGCCTAGTTTCTCCTCCTCTCCCTTCTTGGTTGCCCTTGTGGAGCTCAGTGATTTTGTAAAAGTCAATTTTCTTTAATGGGTTTATTGAAGACATCAGTGTTTGATATTTTTACTGTATTTCCACGATTGATATCAGCTGTTGACATTTTTTTTGACAAACCATTTCCTCAGGCATGAGCACAATGCCAAACATGATCCATTCATGAATTAGGATAGATTATCAGATACTGATTTGTACGTGTATAACACCCTCTCTATTTTATTGTAAACCTCAGCTGCATTAAAGAGTTCCCCCAATTCTAGAATTCTCTGTGCCAAATTCTTATTGGCTGTAATGTGGTAGCAACTCATTTGTCGCTGTGCCAAAGGAATCCTCGGGGAGACTTCCTTTATTAGATGTTGCCTCAGAATGGGCCGGTCTACTTATTCAGCCAATCAGATCCTGAGACGTGAGGAACAGGTCCCACCTGATGCAGCAGATGATCCAGATCAGACCTGTTAGGAAGTGTAAACTGCTGTGATTTACAAATGCAACTTGTGAATTACAGAATACAGTCTCCTGGCGAGTTACAGGACGTGATTCAATGTCAACACGTGTCTACAGCAACATTATCAAAGCATAGAAAAATAAAGTTTCTCCAAAATATTCTACCATGCTTTATTCAACACACAACAGATTATTCAAAATTCTGATCACCCTCCTTTACACAGTGCAAAATGCTCTACAACATCATCTCATGTTTAAAAGGGATCCTAATCCTAACCACGAATATAATCGTGATTGATAACAAAGCTTAGTTCTGTGCCACAAGCCCTGAAGCAAACCAGAGACGGGGTTAACACAGGGGTCTCCAACCTATTTTGATTGGAGAGCTAATTTTTCTAAAACAATGATGGCAGAGAGCTACTCCATTTTGCAGTCATGGTCTACTGTACTGTATATAATAGCTACAGCCAATCATTGAGAATACACATGCATATTATACTATTATACTGCACAGTTTCCCTGGATTAATGAAAATACATTCAGGAAAGACATTTAACAACATTTATAGACATTTATGGACATCGCTCATCTGCCCCTTATGGACCAATGGCTCTATGTGTATTTTTGTTATTGCATTTCTTGTGTTTGGACTGTTTGATTCGCTGATCTGTGTTGTCCTCCGAGATAACTACTGCTGTGATTTAGGGCTATACAAGAATACATTGAATTGAATTGAAAAGATGTATAGTTACAGTGAATAAATATGTAATGCCACAAAAGTGTATCATTCAGTACCATGTGTTAAACTCTTGAATCCTTTGGGGAGCTACCTGAAAGGGGATGGTGCGCGATTGAGCTCCCAAGCCACAGTTTAGAGACCCCTGTTTTAGAATATTCTCAGTAGAAATAGAAATTTTAATAAATACTGTAGATATTGATTGCTAAACATATCCATAGAAACCAGGAGTATAGACCGCTCTCACTGCAGATTTGGAGAGAGAGCTGCCGTGTCTTCTTGGTTGGCCCTTTGATCACTCTTGGGAGGGTGGGGCTACAGTGGACCTCGCTTCTGCTGCGTCTCCAGGCAACAAGTGGGGGCCTAACGGAGGGCACTTACAGCATGTCACAGTCCGAGAGGATCACCTTGTATCAAGACTGAAGACATCTCAGGAGGAGGGAAAACATATGATGGCCTCCAAGGGCCAAGAGGTCTTTCATTCAACACGTCCTCTCTGTTGCGCAGTCTCGCTTTTGCTGGGAAAGACCAACATTCTGAAAATCACTGAGAAATGAGGGTTGACACATGAATCTGGTGGCGATTAGCTTCAATTACAGCTATACCTGGGTGAAAAAAAGCTTAATTGGAATCTAAATTTACCTTGTGGCAGAGATTGTCTGGCTCTTAGAGGAGATCCAACTATATTCATTTGCAGATGACAGGCAACATTACTCAGACAGAATTAGATTAGCTATACCCCTAAGCCTTTCCAGTGAGGGTCATGTTAATAATCTTTGACTAAAAAAACAAAAGAAACAGTCAGCGCATGTTATTGCTTGTTAGCCCACTTTGTTGTCCCATTTGACCTTGCAGTGAGGGCGTTTCTGAGTACTGAGCTGAGCAAATGTGAGCCAATAAAGACAAGTTGGGCATAAAAAAAATTAGGTGAAATTTCTAAATTGTTTATGTAAAGCAGTTAGGAACAGCTGGGTAAACCATACATCTAAACAATTCTAAGGTAGATTGCATTCAAAGTTGTGAATGTGTGGCTGCGGTCACAAGCACAGCCTAAAGCCCAGTTAAAGTGGGCCTAGACCCAGATCGCCGTTAGATCCAAGCTTTAGGTGCCACTGCCGCGTGACCGTGGCAACTGAGCTTGAACCGGTTGAGAGAGATGGGCCTGAGCACGATTGTAAAGCCCAGATGAGGGGGGTCGATGTGGTGGGTGGTGGGGAGTGGGGGGGTGAGGTGCGGTGGGGACGTTATATTGGGCGTGATTGACTCTCTCTGATTGCAAAGAACGCGACCTACAGTATGCTCGAGCTGGTTGGCGCCATGGTTGCCGCACAGAAGCTGAGTGTAAACAGGAAGAGAAACAGAAACTTAACTCTGATCCAGAGGTAGTCGCTGAAGTTGGTATTAGCACCGCTAGCTGGACCAAGCGTTGTACTACACCACATTTGGGCTGGCACATTTGAAAAAATAAACCCTTCTGACCACGGGCCGTCTTCACACCCTTTTGGCTACGATCCGGGCCACTTGGCCCAGTTTGTTTGTGAAAACCTACTGTATGTGACCGTGCCCATAAAATGATGCTTTCCTCGGACATTAGAATGAGTTTCAAAAAGACACAATAATCCTGATTAAGTTTATTTTTTATTATACAAGCCATGAAACAGGAAGTATTGTAAATTAACAAAGGCACTATACTAGTTGATGTTAAAGAACAGTCACACAGTTACGGTCCTATTTTCTTGGGACTAGAACTAGTCCTGTTTTTGTGTTGGTATGTGCATGACCCAATGGTCATGCTTGTTATACATAAGTGATAAGACTATATGTTGTCAATTGACCAAGACTTTTATGGACTTTAAGATTTAAAGGAGAAGTACAGGTTGAAAATGGGTCATAGTGTGAGAATACTATCCTTTTATCCAATAGAATGAAGCACCACATTTGGATAAGCAGCAAATGACAAAACCAAGTGTTGTGCTTTTATGTGTGATTCTGACAAACAAAATGGACCCTGTTTTACAACCACAACAACAAGCATATTCAGAAACATACAGCTTTTGCACAAGCGTTTTCTTCACTTATTTTTTTTTTACCTTACAAAACAAAATATTCAAAATACAATATATTGTGGCTGAAGGCTATATTGTATGCAGAGTATTATTGGTACATTTTCAAGAGAGAATGATTTCCGATTACAAAAGGATTCCATCCGCGACAGCATCAGCATAATTGTTTCTCCTCAACATGGTTCCATACATGTAGGCCTACATTACCAATGTAACTACTTTACAATACAAACACATTGAGAATTCTGTACAGTAGAAAACTGTACAGCAGATTGTACAGATGGCTTTCTTTTACATTGGCTTGTTTGGTCCCTTTTTAATACCCACAATGTTCATTCACTATGAACAGATTAAAGTATTATTATTCAGTTACAGAATATTAAAAGCCACGACTAGTCAAATAACGCTTGTCTCTCAAATGGCATTTTCTGAGCAAATTTGTCATTATCTTGTACCTGAGAGAAATGAAGACTGTATGAATGATGCCTGGCTCAGAAATGTTGTTGCGGCAAGTGTTTCATCATGGGGTGAATGTACAACCTAAATGTTGGAGATGTGTACAGGACAAAACTGACAGTTCACAGTATGACGTGTCGTTGAATATACTGCAAGCATTCAAAGGCCAACAGGAAGAGATTATACTATAAGTTAAGTTATGTGAAACATTCTTTTCCTTAGCACCATGTTGTATCATATACATTTCTGTTCGGCCACAACGGACGAACGAAACATCCTCGAGGAATATTGTGATAGGCCAACGCAACCATCACATGTGGACCTGGGATCACTGTTCAAACTGTCTTTAGGTAACATTTTCTCCTCCAAATCACTGTTCCCAGGCAGGCCAGACATATGGCTATTGTTCCATTGTCACACAGGAGTTGTCCTGCGATTGCTCCCTTCTTTTAAATCGTTGGGGAAACAGTTATGAACCTGTAGGAACTCAGCGGCTGCCTCGTGCTCTGGGCTGTATGTGTTTTCAGTGACACTGTCTCGGGCTAATGCATACATGGACAGTTCATCTAGCGGTCCGCTGGAAGACGGTGCCCTCTTTAGGCCCACGACTGGAGAGTTTTCATGGGAGGCTTCAGTCGAGTGAGAACTTGTGTGGGATGCCCGCCGGCGATAACGAAAACTAGGAATCCTGGAGTAAGGGGAGGAGGAGGAGAGCGACCGGATAAACTCTCGTCGGGCCTTCCAACGTATTTCTTTGTTTTTCTCAATGTAAATGTTAATGGCGAGCACTGCCACAGTCTCTGCCACAATGAAGGAGAGGGCGCCAAAGTAGAAGGACCAGCCGTAAGAGTAAGTGTATTTCTTGTCATCATCCCGTTTGTCACTGGGGTCACCAGCATTACTGGAGATATACACAATAATTCCTATAATGTTGCTTAGGCCTGAAAAGAAAAAAGACACACAGTCATTTACACAAACGTCAATAGGCTGCTTAATTATAAGTTACTCTAAGATATGTATTATATTACTAGTCACAGCTTGGATTATAAAAATAAAAGACTATGTAAATTACAATCACAACGTTTTTTCACCCAAATACTTTCTATACCATACTATTCCAAATACTATTTCAAATACTATTTCAGGACAAAGTTACTTTCACTCAAACTATAAATGTGTGTTACAAAAGTTCAAAAGTCAGTTTTTGTCAGATGCTCATCAGAATCAGCAAAGAAAAGACTGGTAACAACAGAGAAAGGAGGAAATCCAAGGCACACTTGACAGTAAATTTAACTTGAACATGGGTGATTGTTCAAAACAATCAACGTCCTAATCAGTGACAGAAGCCCTCGCTCATCTGGGGGATTTTTCATTGATTGTGTTTGACCTGTGATCACTAGTGATGATCAGGAGCTGAGCTGCAGCAGCTTCACTCAGTGCTTAACTCACCTGCTGCTACAAAGAGGATCCCTGCACTTAGAAGGACTGTGTTAGTTTTATTGTAGAGATGACCCACTCCGACACACAGGCCGCCCAGCATCAGCAGGACAGTACTGAAGATGGGGAACATGCTGGAGGCCCGGACAATACCTGCACACATGGACGGAATCTAACTATCAGAAGGAACATGCTATGCCATCAGCTTTCAACTTCAACGGAAAACTTACGTAGTAGGTATTCTGAGCTGTCTGTGTCATAGTCATTGTCATCTGGAAAGTGGTTGATTCTGTAACAGCTTCCTTGATTAATACCTACAAGACAACAACAAAATACATTTGTTGTTAGAATCACAGACAGCTGCATGTACTGTCTCAGGAATATTAACTATTAACCTTTTGTAACAGTTTGGGTACATTATGTATTATCCCTCTCCAGGCAGGCGTTGCAGATTTGCAACAATAACAACATTTCTTTTTACCACCTACTCCACATCCATTTTTCGGACCCTTTTTATACTCAGAAGTACCACTGCTGGAGCTTTAGCAACACACCGTTTTCCACCTACTCACCAGGGGTGCGGAGCTGTCTCACTTCCAAAAGTTTAACCAAAAGTGCATAAAATGAAAGATGTATATATATAGATACAGTACATGCCAATTAGTAGATTATATTTCCTCTGGGGTTTTCCCTAGGTCAGCTCTATTTACCACAGTGGGCCAATGTTTCAAATCTTCATCATCCCTGAATGCATTGCCTGTGAAGGTCTCTCTCAAAAAAAGTCCATTCCATTCCATTCCATCTTCTTCCGCTTCATCCGTTGACAGGTCGCGGGGGCAGCTTCCCTATCTACACACACTTCCTCCAGCTCATCCGGGGGGACCCCAAGGCGTTCCCAGGCCAGCTGAGAGACATAGTCCCTCCAGCGTGTCCTGGGTCTTCCCTGGGGCCTCCTCCCAGTGGGACGTGCCCGAAACACCTCCCCAGGGAGACGTCCAGGAGGCATCCGGAACAGATGCCCGAGCCACCGCAACTGGTTCCTCTCGACGTAGAGAAGCAGCGGCTCTACTCCGATCTCCTCCCGTGTGACTGAGCTCCTCCGGCCCAAGGCTGCGCCTAGAAATTCTGTCCATAAAGACAGTGAACAGAACCGGTGACAAAGGGCAGCCCTGGCGGAGGCCAACATGCACCGGGAACAGGTCTGACTTACTGCCGGCGATGCGAACACAGCTCTGGCTCCGGTCATACAGGGACTGGACAGCCCTCAGCAGAGGACCCCGGACCCCGTACTCCCGGAGAACCCCCCAAAGGACACCCCGGGGAACACAGTCGAACGCCTTCTCCAAATCCACAAAGCACATGTGGACAGGTTGGGCGAACTCCCATGAACCCTCGAGTATCCGATGGAGAGTATAGAGCTGGTCCAATGTTCCGCAACCGGGACGAAAACCACACTGCTCCTGCTGAATCCGAGATTCGACCATCGGCCGAAGTCTCCTCTCCAGTACCTTGGAGTAGACCTTACCGGGGAGGCTGAGGAGTGTGATCCCACGATAATTGGAACACACCCTCCGGTCCCCCTTCTTGTAGAGAGGGACCACCACCCCGGTCTGCCCCTCCATTGGCACTGCCCCCGATCGCCACGCGATGTTGCAGACACGTGTCAGCCAAGACAGTCATACAACATCCAGAGACTAAAGATAGTCAGGACGGATCTCATCCACTCCCGCCCCAACATCCTCAGCCTCTGCCTCCGGAACGGAGGACGTGACGGGGGGATTGAGGAGAACCTCAAAGGATTCCTTCTACCGCCCAACAATATCCCCAGTGGATGTCAGCAGCTCTCCCCCCGCACCGTACACGGCGCTGGCAAAGAACTGCTTCCCCCTCCTGAGGCGCTGGACGGTTTGCCAGAATCTCTTCGAGGCCGACCGATAGTCATGCTCCATGGACTCTCCGAACTCCTCCCAGTCCCGGGTTTTTCCCTCTGCAACAGCCCGGGCTGCGGCACGCTTGGCCAGCCGGTACTGGACAGCTGCCTCAGGAGTCCCCCGAATCATCATTGCTCGATAGGACTCCTTCTTCAGCCTGACGGCATCCCTTACTGCTGGTGTCCACCACCGGGTTCTGGGGTTGCCGCCAGAACCAGCACCAGAGACCCTGCAACCACAGCTACGAGCTGCCGCATCGGCGATAGAGGAAGAGAACATGTAGGCCTGTCACGATATTCAATAAATCAATTAATCGCATGTTAATTTAAATTAGCTCAATAATTTTTCCATTTGCATGCTTGTTTGTTTTCCCGTCTCTCTCTCCCTCTCTCTCTCGGGTCAGAGAGCCGCAAAGTGGTCACGGGAACATTAGCGGTCTAGTGAGCGGACTGAAATAACTCAAAAATACAAAATACAGCCAAAACATTACCTAAACCAGGACTAGGGTTGCCAACCGTCCCTTGAAATACGGAATTGTCCCGTATTATAGAAAAACTATGTGCGTCCCGTATTGAACTGATACGGAACGGCTTTTGTCCCGTATTTTCAGAGTCGCCTTAAATGCATCACTCACTCACTGCATGTCACACAAGCGACACACGCACACACAGTAATCACAGTTTAAGCGTCTACCTTTTGGCCAAACAGTGTCAAAGGGGGCGTAAGCTTGATCACATCCATGGGTTTACCCTTACTGTTGACAAGTGACAGCGTGGGCCGTGCATGGATCTATGAGGCCATGCCCGCAGCATCATCCTGGCAGAAGTCTGGTAAAGTAGCGTCATATTCCCAGATTCGGACTTCCGCGGTCAATAGCTCACGGAAGTTACTTTGTTAAACAAAAGTAATTTGCTAAAATGATCACCTCTATGTTGATTTTTCAAATCCAATGCGCTGTTTTTAATGCAGAGAAATCCATTGAATCCAGTGCACTGCAAGCGCCGAGAAAAGCGCTTAGGGACCGTCAACCAATGTCAATACCAGCTTTGTAAACAAATAATAGCTTTTACTGAAGCCATGTACACGCACTAAACTCTCAGACACTATAAATAATGACCATATCTAACTGCTACAGACTTTGATTTCAACATTTGTGAGTTTTTTTAATGAATACATGTTTTTCTTTTTTTCTTTTACAGTAAATGGTCTTTACTGTAACATACATAAATAATGTATGTTACAGCGTTTGTCTTTTTATATTTTTTATTACTAATAAGAATGCATGAAGTCCTTAACCAGCCAAAGAGTTCCACCTATTTATGACATTTATTTTTTGCCTAAGAATTTTTTTTATTTTTATATGTAGCCAAAAAATTACATTCTAAAAACTGTGATTATGAAATTCCATGATTCCTGTGTAGATTGAAATTAGGACTAAAAAGTGCTCAACCCGATCCACCCAAATGGTGTCCCTTATTTTTTTTTTCCTCAAGTTGGCAACCCTAACCAGGACATAACCAGGATTGACAATGGGGGACACAGTAGTTGTTCTCATTCAGGCTCTAGTAGTGACTAAACTAGCGCTGCTAGCGTTAGCGTGTTTGCCGATGCGGAAGTACTAAATTTATGACGCACCTCCGTGAACACATACTGCTGTTATATAAAGTCTTGCATTATTGATGTACCTGCATCATTATCATTGCATTAGATGAACATGATCTCAGAACGACAATAGTATCGCTTATCGCAATAATTTCTGAGACAATTAATCGTCCAGCAAAATTTGTAATCGTGACAGGCCTTAGAACATGGTCCACTCAGATTCAATATCCCCCTCCTCCGACGGGACCTGGGAGAAGCTCTCCCGCAGGTGCGAGTTGAAAGTCCGTCTGACAGGGGGCTCAGCGAGACGTTCCCAGCAGACCCTCACTACACGCTTGGGCCTGCCAGGTCTGACCGGCTTCCTCCCCTGCCAGCGGATCCAACTATTGACCAGGTGGTGATAGGTTGACAGCTCCGCCCCTCTCTTCACCCGAGTGTCCGAGACACGCGGCCGAAGGTCAGATGATACGACAACAAAGTCGATCATCGACCTCCGGCCTAGGGTGTCCTGGTGCCACGTGCACTGGTGGACACCCTTGTGCTCGAACATGGTGTTTGTGATGGACAAACTGTGACTGGCACAGAAGTCCAACAACTGAACACCGCTCGGGTTCAGATCAGGGGGGCCGTTCTTCCCAATCACCCCTCTCCAAGTGTCACTGGCATTTCCCACATGGGTGTTGAAGTCTCCCAGGAGAATAACGGAGTCCCCGGTAGGTGCACCGTCCAGTACCCCACCCAAGGACTCCAAGAAGGTAGAGCCCTGCACTTGAGCCCTTGGCCCGAGGGCCGGGCTTCGGGCCGATGACCGCATAATGACCTCGGACACGGGCCGGGCTCGGGCTCTTCATTTTCAGAGCGGCAGAATAGATTTACGAACGCACCCACTGAATATAGCGTTCTATCACGCTGTAGTGTTTGTTGTTCTGTGTAGTGTTGTCATTGACGGCACATAGCGTTACTTACAGGTGTATTGCAGCATCTGGGCATCATACAGATGCGGCCGTTCACTTTGCACCACTCCGCACACACAGAACTCATCACTACCATGTATAACTCCGCCCTCTAGCTAAGTCTGCGTTCATATCAGTGCGCGGCACTATATACTACGCTAAAACATTGTTATGGGAGGTTACAAAAAAAAAAAAAAAGGCGGGCTTGATGCGGGTTTCGGGCCTGAAAATTGAGAAACCATATCGGGCCGGGCCGGGCTGGGGCGCCACCCCCTCGGGCCAGGGCCGGGCTCGGGCCCAGATAATAGGCCCGTGCAGGGCTCTACAAGAAGACCGAGTACTCTGCACTGTTGTTAGGCCCGTAGGCCGTCACAACAGTGAGAGACTAGTCCCCCACCCGAAGGCGGAGGGACGCGACCCTCTCATTCACCGGGAGAACTCCAACACGTGGCAGCTGAGATGGGGGGCAATCAGTATGGCCCCCCCCGCGTGCCGCCTCTCCCCGCGAGAAACACCAGAAAAGTGGAGCGTCCAACCCCTCTCGAGGAGTTGGGTTCCAGAGCCCAAGCTGTGTGTGGAGGCGAGGCCAACTATCTCTAGTCGGTATCTCTCAACCTCCCCCACGAGCTCGGGCTCCTTCCCCCCCAGTGAGGTGACGTTCCACGTCCCAAGAGCCAGATGTTGTGTGTGCGGACTAGGTCCCTGAGGTCTCCGCCTTCGACTGCTGCCCAGTCCTCTCAGCACCGCGCCACCACGGACCCCTCTGCGGGTGGTGGGAATCCTGGGACACAGGAGGGACTGGTCACATCATCCTTTCGGGCTGAGCCCGGCCGGACCCCGTGGGCTAAGGCCCGGCCACCAGGCGCTCGCTTTCGCCATGCCGGGCGACGTGCGTCACCGATTTCATAATAGTGCTGTCCATGGTGGCTTCGGAATGCGCTTCGTCTGACTTTTCACCCGAGACCTGTCTGCCATGGGAGACCCTACAAGGGGCATGAAGCCCCAGACAACATAGCTCCCAGGATCATCCGTCAAAAAAAGTCAGGATTGTATATTACTGATCATTTTCCCCAAATATCAAATGTTTCCTGTCATTCAAATGTAATTGGCCCCTGTGAGGGTTATAGGAAATATAATGACTACAATTACATTCAACCAGGCACATGGATAGATGCTGTTTTGGCTAATCTTGATCTTGACCTAATTCTTGATGCTATAGACTCAAATTAGAGCTGCTTGGAGGTGTGTAACATAGCTCCTAGTCCAGTGTGAACATGTGTTCTATAAATGGCCACTTCCTCTTAGGCTTTGAGAAAAACAAGAAATCAGAAAATTGCTAAAAGACACAAAAACAGTTTGAATAATAACCTCCTGGGCACACAGCACGTTGCACACTCACACCAACAGCCGACAGATATGATGAGTCTCCAATAGGTGCGAGATGGAGGTTAAAGGGCCGGAGGGAGTGAATGGCCAGAATAAACAACACCTTATGAAGAGAGAGGGGGGTGGAAGATGTGGATAGAGGTGTGTTCTGAGAAAATAAACTCTGAGACGTCCTCCTACATACATGTGCTTATACTGTACGATCTTAGGTGTATATATGATAGTAATGTCAAACAATTAAAATATTTAATCACAAATAATTGCATTAATGTTAAGTAGTTAATCCGTGATAATTAGTTCTAAATTTCTCTTGATATTGTTTATATTGATCCAATCTCCTCCAAAAAGACAGTATTTGAATTGTCTAGTATAGATTCCTCCATCTCTGCTCTTTATAGTATATAGAACAGGGGTGCCCACACTTGATCGAACAAAGATTTACAGCAACCATTCAGCCGTGGTCTACCTTGGATTAATGTGAGTGTTTACCATTCAGAATTCAGAATTCTGGTTCATGATGCATGTAATCCATGATCAAGTGTTGTCTTCCAAAATGACCCATGTGTATTTTTGCCACAGGGACCATGAGGACAAACACATACACCTGATTGTTGCTGCTGTATAGCAGTCCTATGTACTGTCCTCTAGGCTTCTGCATTATTATTCAATTCAATTTATTCTTTTATAGCCCTAAATCACAACAGTAATCTCAGTGGATTTAACAAAACCGTTGAAATTGCCAACACAAAT